CCACCAAAGTTGAGCATCACTGAAATCCAAATTATCTAGATTAATCATGGCATTCCAATAGAAGAAGGCAATTCCACCAGATTTATGCATCCTCTAAGATCCAATAATTCAAGATTTGCAGCATTCCCAATAGAGGAAGGGAGCTCCACCAGACTTGAGCAAAAACTAAAATCCATTAGTGGCATTTCCAATAGATGATGAAAGCCTTACCAGACTTGAGCATCCGCTGATGTTAAATTTCTTGAGATTAAAGAAATTCTCTATAGAGAAGGGGATTTTCACCAGGCTGGAGCAATTATATAGATATAAGTCCTTGAGTCAAGTGGCATTCTCGATAGAAAAGGGGAGCTCCACCAGCCTTGAACAGTTACCAAGTTCCAATTCTTCGAGCTTAGTGGCATTTCCAATAGAGACGGGAGCTCCACCAGACTTGAGCAACCACTTAAGTTAAATTTCTTGATATTAATGAAATTCCCAATAGAAGAAGGCAAATTTCTTGAAGACTTGAGCAACTACTAAGATTCAAGGTCTCGAGATTAGTGGCATTTCCGATAGACAAGGGGAGCTCCTCCAAACTTGAGCAAAAACTACAATCCAATTCCTTAAGATTAGAGGCAGTAGATAGATCAGGAAGCACCTTCAGGTTTACAGAAGACCTCAAATCCATCCACTTGAGATTTCGAAGCGGCTGTATAGACAAAAGAAAGACAACTTTCATGAACATATTCTAATACTCTTTGTAGTACACACGACTACTGACTAAACATTAAAGACATATCGACGCCAATAGTTGTTCATAATAGAAACAGATCGAAAAATAGTTGATTTTCGAACCAAGATAAACTTTGATAAAAGGTAAAAAAGAATTACTTACTTTAATTCCTTCCCACAACTTCCCAAGCTTGCTGTCATGCATAACTAGTCCGATTAGGAACTCCGGGTTAACAATAGTAGGCAAAATTGTCATCGGAAAATGATCAAAATGCAATAACCGAAGTTTACGAGATAGATAGTTCAAACATTGTGGGAAATAAATTTTGATGGGATGAAAATAATTACTATAGATTCTTAAGGATTGGAGATTAGACATTCCTTCAAAGCCTCTCTCACTTATATATAATTCGTCATCGTCATAAGCGTCCTTGAGCTCTAAGCCTATGACACTTCTACTACTACTACCCTGAAAATATAAGAGAGGAGATTTTTAGTTGTCAAAAAAAACTCAATTTGTAGGCAACAATGCAATTAAAGACTAATTTTAAACTTACTATTGCATCACCAGTCAATACTTCACAAATCTCTCTTCTATCAATCAAAAACTGACGTTATCCAGGCTTATGAACAGATTGTTTACAAACAATTTCTCTACCCAGTTGGACTAACAAATTATGCATTTCCATATACCTCGAATTGATAGTCATGAGAGATTTATCAGCTAAGACGTGAAGTCCTTGCTTCACATCAGGAAACTTCTTTACAAGATACTCTTCCACTTTCTCCATTTCTTTATGGTTGAAAAAACATGCTATATGAAGGAATAAATATTTATCTTTATCACACAAGGCATCATAACTGAAGTTTAAATTGCTCTCAGTTTCTCCATCAAGGCTAGTCTTTATCCTTGGTAGTTCGTTTTTCCACTCTTGTTTGGACATTCCCCGGAAATGTGAGCCTAAAACCTTAAGTCCCAGAGGAAGTTCACCGCAAGATATGTAACTTCCCACGCAAGCTCCCAGAAGCTATCTTTAGGGGAATTTTGACAAAACGCATTCATGCAAAAGTTTTGAAGAGCCTCATTATTCGATGGAAAATCCACTTTGTAAATATGTTTGGTTCCATGTGCCTTCAAAAGTTTTCGATCTTCCGTTGTGATAATAACTCGACTCCCAGGACCAAACCAACAGATTTCTTTCGCCAAGGCATCTAGCTGTCCTAACCTATCCACATCATCAAGAATAACAAGAACTTTTTTGTCCTTCAACCTTTTTTGTACAACTCCTAAATGAGGAACCTCGGTAACATTCTGGTTGAATGTTTGAGACAAGAATTCTGTTTGTAAGTGCAATTTTGTGCTGCACTCATCATTACAAGGCCTCGGATAGGGTACTTTGATATTCTCCATAAAAACACTAAGCTGGAATTGATGAGCGTGTTCGCTAAATAGCAATCTGGCGATGGTGCTCTTACCAATCCTAGAAGGACCCCAAATCCCTATCATCCTCACTTCATTTGACTCTAGGCATAACACCGGTTTCATTTTCTCCATATGGGCTCCCATCCCAACTAAGCCGATGATGTGATAGAAGATTAAGAGCAAGAAGTAATCAAAAGAACGAACCAGATGCTAGTATGCTAACCAGCTATTGTGGCTATTTTCGACAAAGCTTGCCTCCATTTCCCAATGTCTTCATTTGTTTTACCAGCACAAGTTTTTCTGAAGACCTTCCCAAAGTCTCTGGTCTGCTTCTTTACATCGTATGGATCCACTTCATAGAAAATGGTCATTACTATTTGACCCAACTCATCCATTCCCTTCATGATCTCCACCAATTCGTTCAAGCACCATGTTGAAGAAGCATAGTTCCTAGAGAGTAAGACAATTTGCGATCATCGACCCTCTAATTGCTTTAATGAGCGCAGGACTGATCGCCTTATTCCTCTCAATATCATTATCGACGAATGGATCGATTCCCTTGATTTTGAGCTCCTTTAAGATGTGACTGAGAAATTATTTGCGGACGTCTGCCCCGTGGAAGCTTGGGAAGACATGGTGCTGTGCTCCCAGTTGTGAGGCAAAGAAGATGGAGGAGATGAAGGAGATAAAGAAGAAACCGTTGTACTGATTTCTGGATGGAAACTGAATTTTCTGTAAACCATTAGAAATATTGTGTCGAAAAGCTTGAAGAAGCATATTGCAGCAATGACAGTGCTAAGGCATAACAAAGAATCCATTAATATGATGGAGTGAGGATTTAATATCACAGAGCTTTTTAGAGAGCTACGTAAAAAATGAATTACTACTTAACTTCATTGCCTGAAAATGTTGAAATAGAACTCTCTTTCCATGGAAAATTTGAGCCACAAAATCATTGACCTTATCATGTATAGGTTCCATAAAGACGTCGTCCTGAAGTTAGAATTTAATGTTTTGGTCCACCATTCTAAGAAGATATAACCTTTATGATCATGAGATTGAACTACCTACAATCTCCTACAAATTTTCTAGAAGAAGTAATAATAATAACTTAGCAATTTTATTATACGAAACCAAACGCCAATTTCTAGGAAGTGTGACCAATATCAATGCCTCAGTCAAAATATGAGTTCACACATCTGCAGATATAATCAAATCATGATTTTTACTCATACCTAAAACTTCTCATCGTCTTTTTAGCATCATCTCCACATTCTTCGTTTTCTTCAGTTTCAACTTTCAAGGCTTTTCTCCAAAATGATAATTTTGGGAATCGCGGTTCCACGGCGTTTCCCCGCGTTTCCTGTATATGATTTCATCTTTGGAAACTTCCACAAGAGACATAAATAGATTATCTAATTTATCTCACTTTACAAAAACAGTCATCACTGGTCGAATCCCCTCTCTTCCTGATTTCCAGTTACTCCTCAGAGATATGGACACCGCTTCTAAGGATTTTGAACTTGGCCTGGAACGATCCTTGACTTCTCATAAAATGCAACATTTCAGTCGGGAGATGCTGAGAGACTTCTTAAGCAATTACAAAGAGCAGACTTATGGTAGCTCTCTACTTTCCTATTCTTTTCATCAAGAAGAGATTCAT